ACAGAGTTAATGGAATCATCGAGAGACTGATATACCGAGGGAGAACGAGCTGGCAATTTCTCGTTGGAGAGAAATGATATCACAGGGGAATGTTCTAGCACTAGGCTGTGAACAACACAGTAAGTCTGGAGCAAGATATAAGGAGATCTCAACCTCCGTCCATTCATTGTAACCTAGTTTCCCTTATACGAGAATGTGGAGTCAAGTCTTACATATCATGAGAACACACGCGACAGCGATTATAGAGACCTACTGTGAGCATAATTTCCCCAAGAGTACTATCGTCCTGCTCCCATATAGCCTAGTTAATATAACAGGTCTGGATATCTTAAACACATATCCCACTCGACACAGGAGACTGGTGGTTCGAATCCGGTAAAATACAACTACATCTGTAGCGGCACAGTTAAACATGGATGACAAAGGCATGCTTGGATTATCGAGCTTATGAATTTCCCTTGGGTGAGTACTTACGGTGGAGAGTCAACAGTATGTGTATGTAAACAAACCTCATAGTTATATGTGCGAATAAAATCTAGAGTATGAGTCACTCTAACGTCAAAAGAGTCATCCATCATGTATACCTAGCACCGGTCGTGTGTCATGGCTAAATGGCTGAATACGCGTTTAATGATTTTGAAATAAAGTAAAAAGACACACGATTACATGACGCTCTCCAATTGTGGTTACATTTTGTGGGCGTTGTCACGAGAAGCTTTCTTAGCTGGGATTGACGAGGTCCAATCTTGTTAATACGAATGCCTTGTCTACTAAACATATATTTACAGTGAGTCGCTGTTTTGATTAAGCGAGTTCGTGTGACTTATGCGAATCGTCCGTTTCCTGACAGGCGTTCCGTAGCAGGTACATCAATCTGGATTGACCAGTGTTCTATTCAGATTGAAGTAACCGCAGACAGTCTAACTTCCGTATTGCGCGCCGGCACAAACTTTTAATCTGATAATCAATGAGACAAGACAAAACTTCAGAACATGTTGCTGTGGCTCCAGTAAGACTATTCATCGAAGGGTAAGACTGAACACCTGTACGCGCTTTCCTCTACGAAGTTGCGAGTGAAATATTCTCCCAGAGCCAACTGCAGTCAAATTTCGCAATTCCATAGAAGTTGGTCCACGAGGCAATGATCAAAGACACTCTACGAAATCAATTACTCCCACCCCACGAGATCGATCTCCACCGAAACCTTATCAAGTCTACAAGTACGACCAAGTACATCCTCATCTCAATGACCACACCATTCTTCGACCTTCTCTGGCCTCAGCTGGTCACCAAATACAATCCAGCACCGATATTTCTACCCCACGGAGGAAACAAGGCGTGGCGCACAAATCTGGGAGACAGTTCTCTAGGATGGAAGTGAGAGGGGTCAGGACAAGTTCACTACATGATGCAGAGGATGTATACAATCTCGATAGGCATGAAATTTTGAAATTTGCCAGAGAATTTCTCGAATTCAGCATTGTGCGCGTCAAGACTTCGATTGCGAGAATGCAGATGACACTATAAACACAAGCCAACGACGGAAGGTTATATTGTCTACTCTGAGGTGGTATTCTCTGGCATGGTTTGAGTAGCCTGGACACCTAATCCACTTTGGAAAGATACATCTCAGATCACATTCCGCGCGGAGAAGAGTAAATGGATGACGGAGGCATGTCTGGATAACTCAGGGTTTTTGAGAGATTCACTTGCGTGGGTATTCTGAGATAAGGGTTGACTTGGGGTGAAGAAAAACCAGCTATTACTTCGCAGTGGTACTTGCAAATGAAATCCGAGGTATGAGTGCTCTTCTTGTAAAATGAGTCATCTTATCTGTACATTTTCTCCGATATTGTGTCATAGCTAGAAAGATGCATACACAATTCAAATCTGATGCAAAAAAAGACCGTTACTTATTTTCGATTTAATTCTTATCTATTTAGTTAGTCATCTAGTCATGATATTTCAGACTTTCTTATCATACACTGCACATTGCACTTGCGACATGTAAAATATCTGGCACGGCAACTTGTTCGTAAGAATATGTGACAGTCGTCGGGTGTAGTTCTCTGGGTATCCGTTTATTCTCAACATTGAACGCTTACTGTGCTTGTCTCGGTGAAAGATGAATCCGATATTCCCGTATTTCACACTATTTGTATGAAGGATGGATGGTTTCCCCTCTTTAGATCAAATACATCTCTAAATCCACACCAAGCTGTTCGCTTCCCCTTATAGTGTAACAGTGTTGATGTTGAAAGATTAGGCGTGAGTCTGTCGAAAGGTAATTTATTTGCCAGCTGGAGAACGCATCTACTGCTACATCCAAAGTAAAATTTATAAACATGACCCAATAACTCCAAAGATTAGTACACATCCTCTCGTCCGGCACTAGTCATCAAGACGAGGATTAAGTATCGACAATACCTCAAGCAAGGCTACTGTCAGACTACATACAAGCGGAAATTAGCTCTGACGTTATGAATATATCTGTGCTGAATAGCACTGGATGAAGGAAGTCTACCAGCTGTCTCATCTAATACAACTTGTTTATTTTGGACGTCTAGAACCTCAGACCTTACGCTTCGTTCGTGGCACATGATTTGGTACCCAATCATACATGTAGTTATCTACCAAGTCAAATCTTTACAAGGGCGGAATCAGTGATGGGGAAGACCTGTTATGCTCAGCTATAATAAGTATTTGAATCTCATTAGAGATCATAAATAGGCATAGTGGCATCGCGCGCACAGAGCAGATCCATTCTCTAGGTAACGATGATACAAGTACTCTTGTGGGAAGTATTTTAGATAGATCCTTGGATCTAACATAAATGGCAAAAGTTCTCAGTTGAGAAAACAATTTCTTGCTACAATGATTGGTATATAATTTGGGAATGTACACTTGCGCTGGAACAGCTAAGATAGTTTGTGGAGAGATTTCTTCATTAATATGCAGGAGTGAAGTTGCTATGATAATTATTGTGTGCCAGATTGGGGGAAGCTTGTTCCTTATCCCCTAGCTTGTTCACTTGTAGACCGATCACGTAAGCAGTTTGCAGCTCACCAAAGTGTGCTCCCAAATGAACAGCCATGCCATTTGTCCTATATCAACAACCCATCTCTCGGACTACACACATTACTACTTGTATTGTCGTTATGTAGAGACTGTATCTCCTTCATGCACCATGATGCCATGATGCCATGCTGCCATAATAACTACCTATGCACCAGCTACTAGATCTACCATACTACATAGCTGAGCATAACACTTGCGCTGTCGACTAATTATGTAATCGGTCTGCAAGTGAAATTTCAAGGGAGGAAGGGATTGGCTACCCCAAGTCTGTAAAATTTGTCACAATAACTTCACTTCTACATACCTATCAATAATATCTCTCTCTCTGATCTATCTTAGCCGTTCCAGCCCATGTATAAATTTCCGTCTCTTATGCCAAAAAATCAAAACCGCCTCATCTTTTTTATTTGGTTACATTCCAATTGTTTCCCCGTTAGTCTCATTTTAGCTTTAATTTATCTAGCCAGCCGACATTGCTCTGGATATCTTCCATCTTGTAGATACCAGATAATCCTTGTCTCATCTGTAGATATTCAGCATTGCTCGAAGGATCGGGTTGTTGAATACCGTATTGGACAAGTTATCACAATAAGGTTTGATTTCGGGACGGATTTCTAAATTAGTGGCGTTGATTTTCTACTCCTAAAATCTTTCATGGATATAAGTAAGCTTTGGGCGTAATATGATCGCTTCTCAATTGTGAAACGATACTGCTCTTGGACTTGCTAACAATTAGACGAATCTAGATAGGTATTCCCGAGTAATTAATCTTCAATCTATTTATTTTCTTGTCCTCGTACCGGCTTGCTGCTCTCCATTAATAAAGTTCTTGGATTATTATTGTGCTGTTGATGGACAGGATATCGATGCACAACAGTATTTATCATTTGGAGAGAAGGAAGATATTCTCAGGCGATTCCATGATAAGAAGACGAGCAATGGAGCACTGCATGGAAAGTTTCTATAGATTATACTGGTTGATGAATGGTACAAGAAAATGTCGAGATGCAGTTTTGTTAGAAATTGTGAAGGATTTCTAGGAGGAAATATCTCAACAAGCTTACAATTTCGGACAAGAATTTATTGATAGTTGTAAAGGATGTCGAACTCTCATCTCCATATGAATTAATAATGTGTAATATTCCGTTAACTTAGTTAAACATATACAAATAAGCTATCCTTAAATACAGACCCCCGAGACTTTATTGATCCTGAACTCTCAGTGATCTAGCAACAATCAGTCACTCAGTTATCGCAAGATAGCATTTCCTAGTCACTGTATTCCAGATGCCACTGAACCTCATTTCGCACAACTGAGCTTAATCATATTCAATCAAATCAATTGCATTGATCTTGAGATCATACCTAGAAATCAAAACCTTCATACATACTAAGTCTAGATTTCCAACATGTTTTGATAAAATAAGACCATGGTCCGATTACCTCAAAACTGTATATAAGAAGCCTTTTCTATGCCATAAATCCTCATAGCTTTGAATACCAAATTATCAGCGGTTCACATTGATTTATCAATAATCATCCCTAAACCTTCAGCCAATAAGTATTCTGTGAGCTCCGACCATTACAACAGTACTACTTAATAACCAATCTAGCGCTGCCCAATTTTGAGTTAATCAATTTTGTAACAGGTATTCATAATATAACCTGTTTATTACCCATTATTTCCAAAAAATAGACTATATGTTTGAGGGCGACAAACGTCTCCGTAGCCTTCATGCATAAGTAGAGGTAGGAGGTTTGGAGTTGCCCTAACGTTTTGCCTGTGAAAACGCTCTTTTCTTCTGCCTTCATTTACACCGAGGTCGAGAATGTGCTAAGCATTCAGACGATCCCTTTGCATGACTCGAGGAATTATCAAGTCTCATCCGCATAAGAATTATCGCCGCTTCTTCCTCTTCGGATCATGAGCTACGATCCGAAATATCTGGAAGCTTGTTATATGCATCGTTTGATTTCTCGAGATGAGGGCCAGTATTTTGTGGCTGGATTGTCGATGAAGGGTTTTCGTTGATACTCTTAATCTCAGAAGGCCGCGTAACAGCCGCGCTAGGCTGCACGCTTCCCTTCACGTCATGTGAGATGATGAGAAAAGGCACCTTGTGTTGTCAGTAATAAGTTTAGAAGTATCCTTGGTACTTACCGAGCACTTGGGTCTTTTGTATTCCATGGTGCTCATGTTGCAAAATATAGAATATCCTTTTTAAACAGTTAGTACAAATAACCCCCTTCAAGCTGCTCAAGACAATCAATGTATTTCAACACGTGTTTTCCCTGTCACGGGTCCTGGTCCCGCTAAGATACCCCCTATAAAATAGCTTTCTATTACACACTCTCCTGCGCATCATAGAGCGACTCTTGTATTTTCATTACTTTAGAGAATCAGAATAGACTTTGATTACTTCGTTCGATTGTACAGATCAAGACCTCATTTCGTGACATTGCCATGGATGAACGAGAAAATTGCCCTAAAGTAAAGATCAAGGCTCACAATGTCAACTCCTGCTAGAAGAGATACATATGGTAGTGAAAACATTTAGGATTCCACATATAAAAACGGAAATAGATGCTCAATCTTAACGAAGAAATTAATTGACAATACTTACTGTTGATTATAGCTTCGGTAAAAAAAGAAAAGTCTACCCGTAAATATGCAAACTACTTAAAAGTTTAAACAAAGAGATAGAATTAAAGTAGATATATAGACCAAAAGCACTCTAGAGTCGAAAAGAATAATGATATGTTGTAAGATATGATATTAAGTTGAAGACTGAAGAATTGAGTTCCTTATAACAGCTTAAGTATTAGTCTTACACTGCTTCTGATCTTAGTATTAGACTGAGACGTTCTATTGCCTTAATTAGCATCAGTCTGAGTTCATAAATTATTTTCAATCCAGATTGGGATTGGAATACCTTGTGATTTATTCATACCAGCCTCATTTGATAGTGGCGAGGAGTTGATCAATCTTGCCTCTAGACATGTGTGCTCAAAGGATTGATATACTTCGCAAATAAAGGCGAAAAGTCTATAAATGCAATCTAGTTGGCAAAGAGTATCCATAAGTGATGGTCCATCTTTCAATCTATGATTAGCGTGAATCTTCATTTGAGATTGTGAGGCTCACATTAAAATATCGACTTGGAAGTTGCCTCATCACTCATGAAAGCTCTTCACTATCTAGATTCCATATCTAGACCGTTCGCCTTACTTTCTGATGTCCATAAGATGTGTGGTTGAAATTGTGTCATGAAAAACTAGATTGGACTCATGCTTTATACCGTGTTATGGGACCTGATTATTTGGCCAACATCGTTTCTCAATGTGGAAAGCACGACTTACAGGGTACTGTTCCAATCAAGAATCACATGAAAGCCATTATTGGTAGTCTTCTGTGGCATGATAAATTTCCATCGTTTGCATATACTGACACATGGTGAAGTGATAGTCATAGATAAACTGTAGTCCAAGACATCTTAAATGCCGCAAATGCTATTTTTATACTCCAGATAACTTGGATGAACTTAAACTGCATATCTTGTGGCTGTCACAGATTTACTGATGTTTCTTAGCACTAAACATTTGCAGAAATCTTCTCAACATCGGTAAAGAAACTTTCAGTATTATTTGTCAAAAGAGACAACTGAACTCGGTATTATGGCTCCATGGTAGAACTCAAGATATTATCATCGTTAATTTTAATTCAGAGTATCTACCTATATCATAATAGTAAGAGTCCCGCTAAGTAAAATTTAGACACTTTACAGTTACAATAAATGGAAAGAGATTATAAGACCAGTATTATATCAGAGAAGACCATGAAGAGAATCCTCTTAGTCCTGTTATACGGTGAATTCTTGTAAGAGCAAATTCTGTATGAGCTGCATGTGTTCAATAACCGGAGACATATAAAATATTGAGGCTGCAAATTTATTTATTGTGCAGCTTGATGGTCAAAGAATGGTACTTAGTGGCCTTAATTGATGGGAGGTATTTATCAAGTTGTTGCAACCTTTATTGCTGAATTAATTAGTTTTATATATTGAATGCTTTATCAGAGACTGAATAAAGTTTCAGAGCATTGAGTGACAACTGGATTATTTTATTAGATTAATTGTTTTAAAATTTGGATATATAATTTATTGAACGGTCTGATGGATTTGCTCATTCAATAATGTTCCATATAATTAAGCTGATAATCAAAATGTGATATTTGAAGACCCAATTTCATTTCATTTCACTCAAAGGTGGAACAAATATCCCCCTAATAGTTTATCAGTGCAAAATCTTGGCATCTTCAGTTAAGGTCCAGAAATCTTCGTGAATAATTTCAAAATATTTCAAAAACTGACGACAAGTTTCCGTGTCTTGTGACATTTAAGATTGATTAAAATAAACAAATAGATGAGCATAACATAGGTCAAATAATAATATCTAATTATCCCTTATAGATCTATTGGCCCGAAGTTGTGGTGGGATCAACCAAGCTTTCAAGTCATTGCGGAACAGAAACTTATCTTAGCAAATGGACCATAACCTCTAATGATCCATAGGAGCGTGAAAGTTGTTCAGAATTTTGTATTTCAAATAATCTGGCCGATATGGCGTATCTCATGTGATAGATTGAGTTTTTCTAGCATGTGTGCTGATGTCGAGATTTGCATTAATTGAAAAAGATAAAGCTCTATTTTCGGAAATGTTACTTGTTTCAGATACTTCTATATATTAAATCTTGTCTAATAAGTTATGAAAAAAAGTTATGCGATTTAGCTCGATATCCTAAACTTTTTAAGTTGGATCACTGTAGCCTATAGTCATTTATTTTTGGAGATTGGTATTTGAAAATACTCTTGGGCTCTTTTTTCATGGTGATCTGTCAAAGATCAAGAGCAATCTTATTTCGGGCTATAATGCATATAGAGTGTGCATGAAAATAGATTTGACCTGAAACCTGGATGATGAAAGAAAATTGAGCTTCCATAGAAATTTGATGAGCTTTTTTTCAATTTTGCACAATATTTGACATGCGTTATGCTGAATTTGTCTTTTTACTCTAGAGTTAAGTAGAACTCAGCCATACCTCATTACAGATCGGAGCTGCACGGAGAGTGACTCTACCAAGTTAAGCTTTGGACTGACTGAGCGAGATCTTGGTAGGCTTGTTTTCTTGTCGTAATCAAATTCCCTGTTACAGGTTTAGGGCCTTGTAGGATTAGAATCGGACTTATCCGATTCCACATGTAACGATTGCTCACGTGACCATTGGATAGTCAGGCTTGAAGTGACTTACGTAAGACTTAGTAGATACTCAATTGTGTAGCTCGTGTAGTTCTTTCATTATACAGAATTAAACCTTTATTTTTGGATTCACCTATGCGGACAGCTATCGTGATCAGTCCTTTTACATTCCCTTCATGAATATGGTGTTTACACGGCGCCATGCTTTCATAACTATTGCTCACAATGAAAGTGTTGCTGAGGCGAAGTGGCCTATGATAGGCTTTCTAATAACATTAAAGAGGTTCAATATTGGGTCGAGTGACTCATTTGCCACGTCGGTTACTCTCATCAAGGTTCTAAGATTTTTACGGCACTGTCAATCCACACAACTAGTTTTATTCCTGAAATGGAGGGCGACTTCTAAATTTATAATACGTCACTGAATATGTATATTTTCCCAGTGTAAATTTTGTCGCTACCTGTAACACCACCATTTAGGTTGCTATCGAGCCTTCATGATTTGTAAGAATCCCATATTCTGTTGATCTTATGACCCTGCTACATGACATATGCGATGTCCCTGAGCAGAAATAAAGTCCCCAACATTTGAGGGTTGATAAAATTATTTTGGCGAAAGTTAGGTTTTTTGAAATCTTACATTCCTCTTAACTAGAGAAACGCATCGTCTTCAGTGATGCCCTTTTGAGATATTAAGCAACTAAAAACTATAGTTAGGAGCCGCGAGAGAATTATGTTGTCATTACATTCAACCTGGATTGAGATGTTGTAGGAGACAAATTCAAAATCTGCAATAGGTTTTCTTTATTTGGCAAATCGGGGAATTATATCCCCACATTTTGGTGATGACTTCAATCGCTCACAGATTCAAAAGCCTCGCTGCCCGTTTAAGAAAAGACTTAAATATGTGGAAAAGCATAGGATACGAATTAAGTCGACAAATGAAAAGTTTGGGCCCTTTTGTGTCGAGATATGAAGATCTATTCAAATAACTAACTTGTAATGGAAGGTATAGTTCTCCCATCGTTGTGCAAGAACCATGAAATAGAAGCAGGAGGATGATTATTAATGCAGTTAGGTCTTGTGTTGTGTGAAACTTAACTTTCACAGTAGAGTGTGTAGAGCTTTTAATAATTGTATTACTGGCCACGAGGCTAACTGGATGTGTTGGGCCAGCCGAGTGTTTGTTTTTTTTTATTTTTTATTCTTGGTCCTAAGCTAAAGCTATCTTTTCCACATTGGGTTAAGGACCGGTGGAGCCGGCAGGGCTTCTTGTAATCTTTCCTACAGCCTAACTCGTTCCAACCTCGTGAATCGCTACCAAAAGTGCAGCTGATAAAACTGAAACGAAACATCAAGAAAATCAAAACAACTCCGAAAACCAGAAGATTCCTCCATATTGGACCCAAGCAATTTGCTCCTCACACATTCCCTCGTCCGTCACACCTTCCAAATGACAAATTTGCCCATTCTCCTCTGAGAGCAAAAGATGGGTTAGCAGGCACCTTTTATCCAGCCGGTATCCTGCTATTGGTTAGTAGATGCCCCAAAAGGGGACATTGCCGAGGTTGCTGTGTCCTCAAACTTCTTCTTCAGCTTTCAGGGCTCCGAAACCTGTTGCCTCGGCCATCGAGACATCCTTCGCTGCGGCGTCGATCGCCTCTTCGGCCTTTTTGGCTGCAGCCCTAGCTCGAGCCACCTTTGAGAATTCCCCTTGCTCGAGGTGACAAATCCACGCGAGCTGCTCTTTGGTCACCGATCCAGATTTTCTGGGTCTGACTTTTCAGTCCCGAGAATCCGATCGATGGGGTCCTCCACAGTTACGACACATTGTGAGGGCCTTGCACTCGGCTTCCGAGTGCATATTTGATCCGCAGTTCCAGCAGGCTGGAGCGCGGGAGCAACCACGAGTGGCGTGGAAGCCCAAATAGCGTTTACACT